ATTCGTAACTCACGTTTGACCTTAGAAATGAATAATTGCATCGATTTCTATCGTATTTCTTTAATCTGTAGTTTTGAGTGCTAGTTCAGCGATAGATAAGGACTATCGTACATGCATTGTAGCTAAACAGCGCATGTAACCGTTCATATTTTCTGCCCACCCAAGTGCATTTTAAAATATTTCACAAGCTCAACACAAGAATTTCAGAGTTTGCGTTTGCCTATATGTGGGGTTAAATGAAAAAAATTCAAAGAAAAAAACGCGTGCTGGCGAGAGAAGCAATTTACGTTTATCCAATTTAGTATATTTTTATAAAGAAACGCAGTTTGTTTGTCCGAGTTGCTTGCAAGATTTCTTCACATATACCATTTGATGTAAGGTCAAGTAGCTATATATTGTTAACTTTTATATGCCTAATTTATGTACTTTTGTAAATACCTATAACCTTAACTTAGTTCTGTTGAAACTATGTTTTGTTCAACTACGAACACGCAATGATTTCATCTCGCTCGTGTCTATAACTTTTCCTATAAAACTTGGCTCGTGCAGTGACATAAGACTAAAGTGAAATACAGCTGGGATATTTATATACGAGATCGCTCCCAGATATATTGTAGACGATGTGAACAAGGTAATTCTATACTGTAAACTTGAACAACCTTCATATCTCGCCTGTTTCTCATGTGATGAAGTTCCCGGAAGAACGTAGATAAAAACATCGTTAGGAATCATATGATTGAATGTGCTTAAGCATATTCACCAGTGTTTAGTCAAAATTTAGCCTTAATTTTTGGCTTCAGTAAAAAAACTCGGTATGTCTTCAATTGTGACAAGTATTCTCAGTTTAACAGTTGGTTTATTATGGAATAAGGTCAGAGACTCGACCGCAGACAAATTCAAAGACGGCGATGTAACCGATGCACAAATTCGTAAGATTGTCGTACGAGAGTTAAATGATATCAAGTCTAAGATCGATGGCCTTTCCCGATCAACTTTACTCGCCAGTTACGATTTCCTACAAGAAGGAGTAGAGTTACTCAGTGTTTCTCTTGATAAATCAAATCCCGAGCAGAAAGAGAGCGAAACTCAGGACGAACCAGGTGAACCTTCGAATGTTATTCAGTCTGGTATCTTAAACCAAGCAATAGAGCTTCCTCGCGCCATGGAAAAGCTTAAAATCAACTCGGACAGAAAGTTTGAAACTGCGAGAAAAAGATTCGAGAAAGCGCGCGAGACAGCAACCACTGCTTTCAGGAATGAGGCATTTAGTATCGAAGATCGAATTTTTGCCGCGAAGCTACGAATAGTTTCAGAAATACTGGAACATGTCGATAGTCCTGAGACCGCAATCACTGGGTGTGTATCGTTTTTGAAAAAGCTTCATAGCTTACCAGCCATTCAAGAGATATTCTCGGTGTATTTGAACGGTGGAGTCAAATCGTTGTTGAATAAAACTCAACGAGTGGAGAACGTCAAGTCGGTTATGTTAATCAACTATGTGTTGTTTCAATATGTTCGGAAATTCAGCAGCAAGTATTCGTTTGAAGTGTCCGCCTGCATGCCAACGATTGAACTTTCTGATCGTAGTTTTCACCCAATAAGAAATTGGAACGAAATTTCAACAAGAAAGTCTATGGGAGAGGAATTGCCTCATCCTCCCTGCGAACAGTTCCTTGATGAAGAAATAAGACCCGACTGCTCTGCTGTGAACAGTCAGGGGGATGTTCTTACTTTCTCTGGTACTGGGTCTCGTTACCACATGATTATCCATGAGGCAGGAAAAATCAAACGAATTGAAATACCTGAATTTGCAGGTGTTATTTTAAAGGCGCTTGCTGTTGATATGAATAACAATGTTTACGTGGTGAGAAGACGTTCTGGTGAATTAGGATTCATATTGACGATATTGGACGAGAATTACAATGTAAAAGCAAATCATACATTGGATTTTCTCAAGGACAAAGATTTTTCGCTAGTTAAGATCGCGATATGCAAAGACGATGATATTATCATCATCAAACACGAAGACCCTCATGTGTATGTTTGTGACAAGACGTGTCAATTGAAATACAAGTTTAAACGTGACTCGAGGTGGGCATTTTCATGGAGTATTTCCCAGCAGAATGAAATCATGATACCAACAGACTATAATACGGCGGTTCAAATATACACCAAGGAAGGAAATCTGAAGACAAAAATAAAAGTCCCAGAAGATCATGAGGTACGGAGCGTGGCATTTCACTACGAAATTTGTAAAATATTGGTTTTAACCTTAATTAGGGAAAAGGATTCCTATTTCATTCTGTGCTACCCTGAAGCAGGCGAGATGCTGGAGACTCTTACCTTCTTTTGTAAAAAAGGAAATGAGTTTCCTCCCAAACTAGTATCCCATCCCAAGGGCCCTGTTGTTGTTGCAAGAGGCAGAAGCATCACTTACCTTTAATGAGATTTAGTATGAACAAACATTTCCTGCATAAAACACAGTAAATACTTGTCTGAAATAGTGCAACTTTGAGTTAACTAAAGCAAACAATAGATGCAGCATGGTTTATATAATTTGTGAGACTTTGCTGAATTACGTCCCATTAAAGTGTTCCTGTTTCTGTTCTAAGAGAGACAAGTGTAACTTATATTTAAATAATTTAAATAATAATGTTTTTTGACATTTGCGAACATGGACAATAAGCTTTTAATAACATTTAAAAGCGTATGAATCCTATTTCATATGATATAATATAGTGAAAACTTTCTTTGTTCTTGTAATAAATGATCAGGTTCTTAACATAATAAACTTATGAAACCACCCCTGGCTAAGCTTAGAGCTATGAATCATATTATTAGTGGGTATATTGATGGCTTCTATCTGCAGGGTGATACATATGCTAAATGTGCTACAAATGCTCTTGACACAGTTGAAACATTTGACTGCCTAGATCTAGTTATCCATCCTGATAAGTACACTACTTTCCCTTCTCAAGAGGTAATTATCGGGAATGAGACGCCTGAGTTCGTCGTTTATGAAAAAAAGATTAAGATATTTATAAAATACCAGTCTAATATAACGCTTCCTTGCTCGTAGACTTTCGGATATTTTATCGTGTTCCTATTTTTTATCAGTTGTGTTATACGTTCCACTTTCAAAACGTGTCTTTGAAAAGTGTCTTCGTATTATCAGCCAAAACAAACCTATATATAATATTCAATTCAAAAGTTCATTTTTCCCACTCGAGTCTATGCGTCCTATTATGTAAGACACGACCTGCGTTTTTGCAAGATCAGTCTCTGATTTGGACTAAAATCACAATTAAAAAGTGAGGTTGCATGATTTCAATAGTTAAAACTATGTATGGCCATCGAAAATTGGCTGGAAAATATTGTGAGGTTTCGTGATATTGAAGATTTATTCATAACAACAGTATTTATAAATTATAAAGTGGCCTTGTGCATGTTATTCGAAGAAAACGAGAATTTTTTCACATATATGGCAAAGTACACTGTCGTTAGTCGTTACTGTCGTTATTTTCTTGCATGTAAAATCATGCTCAGAAATTAGCTTAATATGAAGTAAAAAGGGTAGCTTTACACCGCTCGCTACAGTTAATGCAATATTAATGCAAATACAAGGTTTGAAATACAATAAGCCTACGGTAGCTATGTTTTTTACATCTCCATAATATGACTATTATTTAGTTGCACGTTAGTCGCTATAAATTGACACCATCACGGCGTTTATTTTTCATAAACACTGTCAACAAACCACATTAACGGATACTATATATTTGAATAAGAATAAAAAGTAAAACGTGTTCAAAATATTTCATGCACTGTTCCAATTTTCCTAAAAGAAACAAAACAACAGGTATTTGGTGTTTTATTTTGCCTTAAAAGATACCACATTTGCCTCTCTCCCTTGGCAACATTCGCATCCTTAAACAATAAACCTGTCATGGATGATATAAATACATCCATTCAGTCCCTCTTCTGTTCTAAATCGTCTCCACTTCCCGAGTTTATATTAGTTTCACGAATTTCGTCAGGTTTTCAGTGAAGTTTAGCATCGCTTGGAGTAAAGAAACTCGCTATGTCTTCAATTGTGACAAGTATTCTCAGTTCAACAGTTGGTTTATTATGGAATAAGGTCCAAGACTCGGCGGCAGACAAACTCAAAGACGGCGATGTAACCGATGCAGAAATTCGTAAGATTGTCGTACGAGAGTTAAATGATATCAAGTCTAAAATCGATGGCCTTTCCCGATCAACTTTACTCGCCAGTTACGATTTTCTAGAAGAAGGAGTTGAGTTACTCAGTGTTTCTCTTGATAAATCAAATCCTGAGCAGAAAGCGAGCGAAACTCAGGACGAACCAGGTGAACCTTCGAGCGTTATTCAATCTGGTATCTTAAACCAAGCAATAGAGCTTCCTCGCGCCATGGAAAAGCTTAAAATCAACTCAGACAGAGAGTTTGAAACTGCGAGGGAAAGATTCAAAGATGCGCGCAAGACAGCAACCACTGCTTTCTGGAATGAGGCATTTAGTATCGAAGATCGAATTTTTGCCGCGAAGCTACGAATAGTTTCAGAAATACTGGAACATCTCGATAGTCCTGAGACCGCAATCACTGGGTGTTTGTCGTTTTTGAAGAAGCTTCATAGCTTACCAGCCATTCAAGAGATATTCTCGGTGTATTTGAACCCAGGGGCGTAGCTACGGGGGGGTGCGGGGGGGTGCTGCACCCCCCCAATGCCGTGCTTGTCGGCAAAATAAGGCAACTGTCGGCACAAAAATAAAATGAATTTTACTGATTTGTAATTTCGTACAAGTAATTTGAATGCATCGGAAAATACTTGAAAATGAAGAAATGAATTGTTTGTTCGGCCTCGGGTTCTGAAGATTCAGGCTTGCGCCATTGCGCGACAGTTCAGTGCCAGTTGCGGGCACATTTGACTTTTCGCAGCGCCACCTGCGGTCCGTACGCTGCAATAAGATATATCATATTACGTATATGAAAGTTGCGCTATGAAACATGATATAGCATACAAAACACAACACTCATCTGCGCGTCATTTGCTTTGGGAATGTTTATACTTTATTATATACACGAATTTGCGAAATTAAAAAGGTAAACGAATAAAACAAACTGAATGAATGGAGAGTAGCAAAGGTAAACGCAAACGGAAGCGAGAGAAACTGACATGTTTAGTCTGTAATCGGTCGTTTGATGATGATTACCGAAATGAACACAACAAGAAATACCACGATGATTTGTTAAAGGCAGGGAAATCAATATCTTATAAAGTGGCCGGTGCTCCCGCAAACCCGTTTGTCTTGGCGGCACAGATACATAAGGAAAAGGTAAGGCTTTTTTAAATACCATATTTCTAGCTCCCCACAAACATATTAATTAGTAATAACCTCAAAGGAACATTTAAGTTTAAAACCTCCAATGTGTGATAACTATAGGTATCACAGACAAAGAATGATCCGGAAAGCTCTGGTGCCCCTTTGGAGACGTTGACTGTTTCCGCAGGCGAAAGTGTTGCCGAGAAAGATTCCCAACCCTCAAAATCACATAATGTTGACACAGCAGTACTTTCTTCAAAGGTAACTTTTTTATCTTTCAAGTCTAACTAAATTTATCCAATTAACTTTTTCCATATTTGTTATGAAATATTTGTAAATAGCTCTCAACGTTTTGAATTTTCAATAATATTGAATTAGGCATCAGGAAGCGAAAGTGACAAATCACACAAAGACGAAACAGTCGAGAGCTATACCGTGGAAGACGTGAACAAAGAGACCGAAGTAAGCGAGGGCGATGGTAACATCACATGGCTTCAGTGCGCAGGGTTGCTCCATTATCTCAAGTTTCAACTTCGTAACGTTGAAGGAATTATGGACGAAGTTGCATCGGCTGATAATCCCAATCAGGAACATTTTCTGAGCAAAGTGGTCGAAACTGCTGATCAAGTTAGGGAAACTGCAAGCGAGCTTGTTAAAAGATCATCTCAAGTTCTCAAAAACATTGAAAAGGAGAAGATGACACTCGAAGATAGCAATGAGAATTATTTTTCCCCTGCAATTCCACCATTGGATCCTGCATTGCGATCAAGGCATCTGACAGACAGTCAAAAAACGTACCTGATACAAATCGGTCCGAATCAACCGCATTTACAGGCATATCCAACCAACCCAAGTGCCTCCGACGTTATGAGAGAAGGCCACAAGCAGTCCAGGTTTAATCCATCCTGGTACAAAGATTACCCTCACCTGGAATATAGCATATCAAAAGATGCTGCCTTTTGCTTTGTATGTTCTCTGTTTAGCAGTGGTCCAGGGATGGAGAAAGCGGAAAGTGCTTGGAGTACAGAAGGAGTGCGCACATGGCATAAATTTAAGAGCTGTGGAAGGCGAAGCCTGGGAAGTTAGCAACACACTTCTCATCTACGAGTCACAAAAGTGCCGTCCTGGCGTATGCAAATTTTGTGAAAACGTCTGGACACGTCGATGTACTGCTTTCTAAGGCCAGACGTCAGGCTCTCATCCAGGAAGAGGAAGACCTAATCCACAACAGGAAGATTGTTGAGATACTGCTCGACGTAACGAAAACACTCGGACGCCAAAGTATCGCGTTTAGAGGTCACGGAGATGACAAAGAAGGAAATTTCCAGCAGATTGTGATGATGATGGCCAGACATTGTCCCGATTTAAAAGCCTGGTTCAACACTACCCGGATGCGACCATACCGCATAACATATCTAAGTGCACACTCCCAAAACGAATTTATTCAACTAATTGGCCACCAATTGCAAAAACAGATTGCCAAAGAAATTGAAGAAGCCCACATGTACTCGGTCATGGCTGATACAACGCCAGATGTTTCACACAAAGATCGCCTTGCACTTGCTTGTCGGTACGTGGATGCCAACGGTCAGCCAAGAGAACGATTGATGTCACTGACGGAAGCCAAAGACAAGACGGGGAAGGAGGAGCTAGGGAGATCATCGAGGCGCTAAATAAGCATGAGATCAATTTAGACGATCTATGCTTCCAAAGCTACGACTACGCAGCTTCAATGTCTGGAAGATTCAATGGAGTTCAAAAGAAGATTCAAGATAAGCTTGGAAGAAGAATTCCATATATGCCATGCTTAGCACACCGTTCAAACACGGTAATTGAACACAGTTGTGAAGCAAGCGCTATTATAACTGAGTTGTTCAACGTACTCGAGGAATTGTATGTTTTCTTCACGAGCAGTACCAAGCGCATTTCATCGCTTAAAGAGCACATCGATGATGCAGATATCGATAACCCGTTGCAGCTAAGGAACCTGTCCAAGACACGCTGGGTGGCTCGAGCGGAATCGATCAAGGCTGTGTGGTCGACGTACGAAGCAATCTTGAAATCATTGACGGATCTTAAAGAACGTTCAACTGATGGTAAGACAAAAACGGCTTCCTCGGGTTTGTTGGCCAAAATCACTCAATTCGATTTCATCGGTGCATAATGTTTATGAAAACATAATGTACAAAACGAAGAGAATGACGGAGATCCTTCAGAAAGAGGAACTTAACATCATTGACGCAATTACAATTATGGAATCAACCATAAAAAGCTTGGAAAGCGTGGCCAACGACAGTGATGCAATGAATGCAGAAATTCAAGCAGCAACTGTGTTCGCAGAACGGCTTGGTGTGGATGTAGAGAGTGATTTCCGACGCCATCATCGCCTCAGAAAACCACCTCGAAGAATCGATGACAACCCCTCTAATACTGTAGCACTAAGCCTGGAGTCCTTTTACCGGAAAGAATTTAAAGCAGTATTGGATACTCAGATCACCCGCTACAAAGAAGTGTACAACAGTTCCAAAGAAACGACTGGTCCACTGATCGATGTTTTGCATCCTTCCAAAGGCAAGGTTCCACTGGAATCGTTTAAAGACTTCGGAGAATTTTTCCCACGAGACCAACGACCAGACGCAGAAGCTCTAATGGCAGAAATTGAAGTTTTCAAGGTGCACCTAGCTGACAATCACAACGACGTTAAAAATATTTCTGAGGCAGGCGAAATATCAGAGAAACAGAAGTCAGTGTTTCCCTTGACGAACAAGGCTTATCGCCTAGCTCTTACTGCACCAGTTACTGTAGCGAAAGACGAAAGAACATTTAGCAAGTTAAAGCTTGTGAAAACCCTGTGCAGATCAACGATGCGCGATGAACGACTGGAAGAACTGCTACTAATGGCTTGTGAAAAAGATATCACAGATAGCATAAGCATTTCCCGAATGGCTACAGCTTGGGCAGCTTTAAAACAACGTCGGGTCTCCATTTCCATATCATAGAGAAGACTAGAACTGTATGTCTGTATATACTGTAGTGGGAAATTTTATAAAATGCACACACGTTTCAACATTTTAGAAGTTTTAAATTTAGGAATCACATGAATAAAATATTTTACTTGGGAGTTATTGCCTTTTATATCACCTTCGACCACGCCCTAATTGCGCACTTAGCCACGCCCTTTTATCGGCAAAATGCGGTCGTGCACCCCCCCAAAACAATGACACTCGCTTCGCCCCTGTTTGAACCGTGGAGTCAAATCGTTGTTGAATAAAACTGAACGAGTGGAGAACGTCAAGTCGGTTATGTTAATCAACTATGTGTTCTTTCAATATGTTTGGAAATTCAGTAGCAGGCATTTGTTTGAAGTGTCCGCCTGCATGCCAACCATTGAACTTCCTGATCGTAGTTTTCACCCAATAAGAAATTGGAAGGGAATTTCAACAAGAAAGTCTATGGGAGAGGAATTGCCTCATCCTCCAAACGAACAGTTCGTTGATGAAGAAATAATACCCCACTTCTCTGCTGTGAACAGTCAGGGGGATGTTCTTACTTTCCCTGATACTCCACTTCTCTGCTGTGAACAGTCAGGGGGATGTTCTTACTTTCCCTGATACTGGGTCAGTTATTCGGCCTCGTGAGCACATCATGATTATCCATGAGGCAGGAAAATTTAAACGGGTTGAAATACCTGAATTTGCACGTAATATTTTTTTAGAGGCGCCTGCTGTCGCTGTTGATATGAATAACAATGTTTACGTGGTGAGAGAACGTTCAGGTGTAGGATTCATGTTGACGATATTGGACGAGAATTACAATGTAAAAGCAAATCATAGATTGGATTTTCTCGAGAGCAGAAGTGTCAATAATATTAACATCGCGATATGCAAAGACGATGATATTATCATCATCCAAATCGAAGCCTACGCTCTCAAAAACCCTCATGTGTATGTTTGTGACAAGACGTGTCAATTGAAATACAAGTTTAAACGTGACTCGTGGTGGGCATTTTCATTGAGTATTTCCCAGCAGAATGAAATCATGATACCAACAGACGATCATACGGCGGTTCAAATATACACCAAGGAAGGAAATCTGAAGACAACAATAAAAGTCCCAGAAGATCATAAGGTATGGAGCGTGGCATTTCACTACGAAATTTGTAAAATATTGGTTTTAACCAAGGTTTGGGAAAAGCATTCCTATTTCATTCTGTGCTACCCTGAAGCAGGCGGGGAGCTGGAGACTCTTACCTTCTTTTGTAAAGATGGCGATCAGTTTCGTCCGTATCTGGTATCCCATCCTAGGGGTCCTGTTGTTGTTGTAAGAGACAGAAGCATCACTTACCTTTAATGAGATTTAGTATGAACAAACATTTCTTGCATAAAACACAGTAAATACTTGTCTGAAATAGTGCAACTTTGAGTTAATAACTAAAGCAAACAATAGATGCAGCATGGTTTATATAATTTGTAAGACTTTGCTGAATTACGTCCCATTAAAGTGTTTTCTTGTTGTAAGAGAGACAAGTGTAACTTATATTTAAATAATTTAAATAGTAAAGGTTTTTGACATTTGCCAACATGGACAATAAGCTTTTAATGACATTTAAAAGCATATGAATCCTATTTCATATGATATAATATAGTGAAAACTTTCCTTGCTCTTGTAATAAATGATCAGGTTCTTAACATAATAAACTTATGAAACCACCCCTGGCTAAGCTTAGAGCTATGAGTCATATTATTAGTGGGTATATTGATGGCTTCTATCTGCAGGGTGATACATATGCTAAGTGTGCTACAAATGCTCTTGACACAGTTGAATTATTTGACTGCCTAGATCTAGTTATCCATCCTGATAAGTCCACTCCTTCCCCTTCTCAAGAGGTAATTATCCTAGGATTTGCCATTAACTTGATAACAATGACTATCCAAGTTACAAATGAGAAAAAAGGAAAAAATTAAAAATTTTTTGTTTAATGTTATTGAATGTCCAATGTTTCAATCTTATTCTCTTTGTAACATATACGTATATTTATATATTTATTCCCTAAACTCAGTCCGACAAATTACAACCTTTTCACTTCAAGCCTCTGTCCTTCATGCCCATTTATCAATCACAACCCTCCTAACAACTTATTAAATATTAACCACATTATTAATAATATCAACTGTTGTGATGAACACTTACTTTAGACCGATTACTAATTTATATATTCTATTACTAGTGATTTACATTTGATTGACATTTAATTACGTAGGCTTAAAATTGGGGTATCATATATCTGCACGGACATGCTTAGAATTAAGGCAATTGATACAAGTTACTGCTAACCTGAGGATCTAAACCGAACTGTAGAAAAAGTAGACGTTAATGCTAACCTGTAACTGTATTTGTTTATGTGAATCAACACGAGGATATTGGCACAGAAGTGAGTTAATTATAAAGTTAATCTATAAGTTAGTATATAAATTCCGTTAATCAAACCATAATATCTTATTCATTATTCTTATATTAATATTTAGATCGAATTGTGATTGCGCACAATATTATTTGTGACAATAAATACGATATACCAATATCCAGTCGTGCTGCGTAGTAATACGGGCGTATTGTCGATTCGACGAACCATCAACCTTATTACATAATGTAACATCCAGCAGACATTCCTTACCAGCAGGTAGCCAAGATTATTAGTTACCTAGTCTCCTCGATCCTTACCTGGGGTTCAGTATGGGGCTCTTCATTATAGGTACCTTGAAATAGATAAAAAAGGGTAATTTTGATTCCCCTATGACTGTCTCTGAGGATGGCTTGATAGAGTTACGATGGTGGGTCACCCATCTTGAAGAGAGTTTTAGATTTCTTTTCATTCCTCCTATTGATATAACTATATACTCTGATGCATCCCTAGAAAGATGGGGAGCTGTACTAAGTGATACATCTTCAGGGGGATGATGGTCGCCAGATGAATGCACCCATCACATAAACTACATTGAACTTTTGGCTGCATTTTTTGCCCTTAAACTGTTCTGCACCACTCTTAAGTGGTGTAAGCATGTAAAACTCATGATAGATAACACCACAGCAGTAGCTGTAATAAATAACATGGGTTTTTGTCATAGCCGTATTTGCCGCTCTATGGGCTGAGAAATCTGGAAATTTTGTATAAAATACAACATTTGGCTTACTGCTGCTCACATTCCTGGTTCGCAGAATGTCTTAACACGCAAAGAATCTCGTCATTTTCATAATCCAGATAGCGAATGGAAACCATACCATTGTCATTACATAATGCGCTCAGTACCTTGAATTTTCACACTTAGATCGATCTTTTTGCATTACACTTAAATATAAAACAGTTCCTAACATATTCCGCCAGATCCTGAAGCAGTGTTCGTTGATGCTTTCTCTATTTCGTGGATTGACTTGAAATTTTATTGTTTCCCGCCATTTAGTTTTCTGTTACAGGCTGTAAAGAAAATAATTCAGGAGCATGCCAAGGAAATTTTAGTTGTTCCTTACTGTCCCACCCAGCCTTGGTATCCTTTGCTAGCCTCTCTTCATGTTCCACCTCCTGTGGTCCTACAACCCAGTCACAAACTACTGAACCTCGGTCGGAAATCATCGGAAACAACTCATCCCCTTTGCAAGAAGCTCAAACTTTTGGTTTGTCATGTCTGCGGCAACAACTACAACAACCTGGCTACTCGTTAAGACCATTAACATAATTGAATCCTCTTGGAGAGACAGCACTAAATCTCAGTACCAAGTGCATCTGCAGAAATGGTTAAAATTTTGTATGAAGAGGCACTGTGATATCATCTCCCCTCCCTTACCACGGACGTTAGATTTTCTGTCATCGCTGTTTGACTCAGGTTTGTCCTATTGCTCAATCAACTCGGCGAGGTTTGCTTTATCTTCTATTTTGCATTTATCTTCTATGTTATTTGATCAATAACAACTTTTTACGAGCAGTTCAACTTTCTTAAATGAATATCACGTCTTTTCAAATAGTCAATGGCGTTGAATTTAGCGAGTGGTCCTGTTTTTCGCCTTGCAACAAAGATTGTGTTAAGAAAAGGCAAAGATATTGTTTCTCTTCAAACCACGCGGACTGTCCTGGACCATCGTCGCATGGCGTGGAATCTCAATGGCAGAATTGCACGAACGAGGAATGTTACGGTAGGTCCTTTGCTTCGAGCACTTAAATTTATCGAATATCAGTGACATACGTAGATCAGTGGCTGAGATCGTTGTCTTTCCCTGTCGTGACTCGTGTAAGTCGTGTTGCGTGGCGATGTCTTGATCCCACACTGTGTTGACCAGTGTTGGCATGTGCTGTGATGCTGAGTCATTCGGCCACATTTGGGGCAAAACAAATCTTTCACGGGAGTACAAAAATTGATTTTTAATGATAGGGGGGACCTTCTCACCTTCATCGTGTAAAAATACGAACGCCTGCCCCTCCGCCCCACGGGCCTCTTCGCTTATGAGAGAACCAGTGACACATACTATAGCTAGATATAATTGCATTAGTCAATGACTAGAAGGCAAGCAATGACCTAACCCCACAATCCAGGCTTTTCTACCTTCGCTCCACGGCCCACGTTGGCTTGCGAGGTTGGCAATAGCCTTCCAGAAATACAAATTCTGAGCTCGTCTATCCTCGTTAAACGCTTTTATTTTCTCGTTTCAGCTCCTGTTGCTGGTCATTGGGGTCGCTGGTCCTCTTGGACAGAATGCAATGAAAATTGCAAGCGTCATCGATCAAGAAAATGTTCAGATCCCGCCCCGATGCATGGCGGGAACGACTGCCCAGGGGTTGGGAAAGAAGAAAAAGATTGCTACGCCAACAGTACATGCAACCCAGGTTTGTTTTTTGGATAAGTTCATTTCAACATCTTGTCTCTTCCTGCCCATCATGTTTGACGAGCGTTTTAGCTGCTCAGGCGAAGTCTCGTTAAACTAATGATGGAATATTCTTTTATTTCTTTGTAGATAACTGTGATTTTACGCGCGGTAGTTACTGTCATTGGACCCGTTATAAAAACATGGATTATTTCTGGCAAGCACATAAAGGATCAACACCAACCGGGAGCACTGGTCCAAATCAAGACCATACTACTGGCACGGGTAAGAAATCTCAGGGATCCATCATCATCATTTGTCATTCCCTTTTGATCTCTACTCATCGGCCATCTCTATCCCTCACTTTCCATGGTTACCCATCATTATCAAACGTTATTCATTATTGTCTGTCGTTACTAATCGGTGCACCTGATCCTCACTATCCTCTATTATCCCACAAATGATTATCCAAGAGTATCCACCATTATCCATAATTACCATTATCGTCAAATTTTCAGGCCATTACATTTTTACCGAGGCCAGCTTCCCTGCCAAGGAGAACGACACAGCACTCCTAACAAGCAAACTGTTTCCACCCTCGCAATGTCGTTGCATTTCCTGGTACTATCACATGTATGGCCGCTCAATGGGAGAACCCAGCGTGTACATTAAAGACCCTGTGGGTTCTAAGAGGATAACTATGGGATGAGAAAGGTGATCAGGGAAACAGATGGATATTAGGTAGCACAACAATATCTAACGTGTCTACGACTAGTTACCAGGTTTGTATGATATTTTCGTTTTAGTTGATAATTTTTTTACTCTTCAACATTACTTTGGGGCCATCCATGGAAGTATCGCAATGCCTTACACCGGATTTCGAAAGAAATGCTCTTATACTTTCCAAGCATCTTTGATCTTCGAATGTTTACTTAAAACGGTTTTATCCCAGTGGAAAAACTACTGCTTGTTCACATTCTTACGTCACAAATTTTCATTTAGGTGGAATTTGAGGCAATTCGTGGCCGATCTTTTTATTCTGACATGCCTTGGGATGACATCCATTTCAAGGAAATGCCCTGTGGTAAGTCGCTACACTCTGGGATAAACATGATCATTTTAGTTCATCGATGGTCCTCAAATTAATGTACATCTCTGATTGACTCTGAAACTACTTAAGGGTCTCCGACTGGTTCTTCCGATAGATGAAGGGCCTTTGATAAGACCAACAATGCCTTGATCCTTCAATAAAACATGATTCTCGCGATGGTAGAAATTGGAATAATTTTTTAATGCTAACAGTGGTTTTGCATTTGAAACATTGATTCAACGAGAATGCGAGTTGGCAAACAAAGGTTTTAATTTTTCTGCATGAGGGATTTTTTTGATGAACTATCAATGCTTGGTCAAACGTGAACAAGAGTTCTATGCGATTTAAACCGAGTTGACTGGCCATTGATCAGAATTTAGGACAACAGATAACAACCGACTTTCACTGTAATTTTTTAAATATAAAATTAAGTACACATCAATGACTTTAGTGTCCATTAACAAAGATAAATATTTAAGTGAACTTTCTACAGTAAAGAGGGGCTCATGTTTTTAAACAAAGATACTTTGTTACAGCAAGCTTATCTTAAACGAGCTTTGCAAAAGCTCTTTGTTCAAATGACAATTGTTCGGTTCTTGAAATCGACACACAAGGCAAACGTCAAACACAGCTCTTCGTATATATTTAGGTGTACAACACTTGGGATGTTTTAACGATCGTTATAAAAGAGCTTTGCCAGACTTGATTGCGAATCTCCGGGATAAAATAGAATGGTATGACATGCAAAAGACCGTCAGAGAATGCGCCTGTGTTGCTTATGACAAAGGATACAAGTTATTTATAAAATTATTAAAATACCAGACCAGTGCAAGGCTTTCATGTTTGTCTAAGGCCTCAATAAAGTCAATTATAACTGGACCATCCACAACATGGATATTTTGAACCAATTCCTTTCATATTTACAGTAATAATACTGCATTGCGTTAACCTAATATAAATTTCACTTCCATTTTTCAATGAACAAGCATTGATTATGTCGTTATTTAGTATTTTGCTGTGCAGTTTTACGGAGAGTGTTGGGGCGCAAGAAGTATGATTGAATATGACAAATATGGTGCTTCCAACGACTGCTGGTCTGATGTCGGAAAAGATTTCACGAATTATGTTTATAAATTCACGAAATAAGATACGTTTTATGTTCCTTCTATCTATATCTTAACATTCCCAATATTTTAGGTATAAGCCATTAGTATGTAGGAAGTTGCGTGACAAAAGTCACAAAGATTGGAAAGAAAAAAACTTGCGTCCGTGCAAATCTATTGTTAGAGAGTTTACCGTGTAGTATTGTAAATATATTTATTTTAATTTTTGAATAGAAACAGCCCACTATTGCGTTTAATGATCAGTTGAAGTGAATCAAAATAATTGACATCTATTAATATTAGCACTGATATTAAAACGAGTATCATATTTCTAATACAGACATCTCTTTAATACAAACATATCTCTAATACAGACATCTCTCTAATACAGACATCTCTCTAATACAGATATCTCTCTAATACAAACATATCTCTAATACAGACATCTCTCTAACACAAACATATCTCTAATACAGACATCTCTCTAATACAGACATCTCTCTAATACAGACATCTCTCTCTAATACAGACATCTCTCTCTAGTACAGATATCTCTCTCTAATACAGACATCTCTCTCTAATACAGACATCTCTCTCTAATACAGACATCTCTCTCTAGTACAGACATCTCTCTCTAATACAGACATCTCTCTCTAGTACAGATATCTCTCTCTAATACAGACATCTCTCTCTAATACAGACATCTCTCTCTAATACAGACATCTCTCTCTAGTACAGATATCTCTCTCTAATACAGACATCTCTCTCTAATACAGACATCTCTCTCTAATACAGACATCTCTCTCTAATACAGACATCTCTCTAATACAGACATCTCTCTCTAATACAGACATCTCTCTAATACAGACATCTCTCTCTAATACAGACATCTCTCTCTAATACAGACATCTCTCTCTAGTACAGACATCTCTCTCTAATACAGACATCTCTCTCTAGTACAGATATCTCTCTCTAATACAGACATCTCTCTCTAATACAGACATCTCTCTCTAATACAGACATCTCTCTCTAGTACAGATATCTCTCTCTAATACAGACATCTCTCTCTAATACAGACATCTCTCTCTAATACAGACATCTCTTTCTAATACAGACATCTCTCTCTAATACAGACATCTCTCTCTAATACAGACATCTCTCTAATACAGACCTCTCTCTAATACAGACATCTCTCTAATACAGACATCTCTCTAATACAGACATCTCTCTAATACAGACATCTCTCTAATACAAACGTCTCTCCATTACACCCCCCCCCCCCCTATCTCTACACTATAGACATTTTAACTTTTGATTGATGTGAACGAGGAAATAGTAATTATGTAATGATGTATGCGTGCTCTTATCCGAACGTCCATAACTTATTTACTTGTTTGCATCTATCAAAAGCAGAAAACTTGATCGTAATACATGCACTTTCCAATACAAACATCTCTCTGGACATGACTGCACAATTCGTCAAGTCAAGACAGGTTGAAATTCATCCCATGTTATTGAGCCGAATTATTAAAAAGGACAGGCGTGCATTTATTGAGTTCGTTCAATCGAGCCAAGCACAAACGAGAACTCTTGGCTGAGTTAAAACTTCAAGCTGACTTCAAAAGACGGTTGACATTACCAGAAAATCATGTATCACCACAATTAAACCTGGGCCTAATCACACCTGATCTTTGCCAGTCGAGATGCAGAATTTGTGAAGGTACGTTCGGTGAACTGTTATTATTTTATCTCTGTTCTGGCATTGCACCAGTTTTCCCACAAGACTTGATAAGTGAGAGGTGAGATTGCTCAACTAATGGTGCTCAAATCTTTCAACCTTTGTAGATAACTGTCATTTCAAGGTGGAAATACTGTCAGTGGGTCTGTAAATAAGGATGAAATGCTATTGGCAAACACAAAGGACCATCAGAAACAGGAAAAACTGGTATCAATCAATACCATATTACTAGAACAGGTAAGAAATAAAAGTGATCCGTCATCACAATTTCTCATTATTAATCATCACACCAGATATCACCTTATTCCATTCGTCATAATCGTTATCCATCGTTGTCCATAATTGTCCACCGTTATCCATCGATCATACATTATCATACATAGCTATTTGTTTTGGTCCATTATTATCATCCAATGTTAACATTATTATCCCTGAGCATCAATTATCATCCCACCTTGGTCACCTGCTATTATAGTTTCTATCGTTCCTCTTTATATTAATTAAAACCATTTGCAGCGATGCCAAAGATATTCATTATTGCCAGAGCCCAAAATCGTTACTGTCAGCTATACCATCAGTTCAATGTGCATACAATATCAAAAGTTAATATTTATACCCACCATGGGCACAAAATAGCTCTAATTCAGTTCCTAGTTACAACAACCGCTACTACCAAAATAATAACAACGCGCAATCCAGCTTAGTTTCAAACCTAATTTCGGTCAGTATTTTTTGCCATTATAACGAATTGTTTCATTTTTCGCATTTGCGGAAAACCGGACGGTGACAGCTCAGAACAACGGATTTCGTTTCCAATAGCAACGATATCATCTTCCGTTAGAAATCTAGGCTCATGTGATCAGACACGCGATAACACACCTAATCTTAATAAGATGAAAACAAATAAATATTCCCAGATGATTGAAGACAAAACTTCTCTTGCGAATGAAGTATCAATATAGTGCAATATTTGCATATTGTAATATCCTGTTCCAATATAGTTTAGATAAAGAAACTCTGACACTATAAATTTAACCAACCCTTCAATCAGTTGGATGCAGCAACCAAGAACACTTAACATCTACGCAAGAGTTGTTCATGCACGAGTTTGTGTTTACCCTGTGTTCGTGTTTAGTCAAAATTAAGTATTAGCTTGTGTCTTCAGTACAGAAACTCGGTATGTCTTCAATTGTGACAAGTATTCTCAGTTCAACAGTTGGTTTATTATGGAATAAGGTCCGAGACTCCACGGCAGACAAATTCAAAGACGGCGATGTAACCGATGCAGAAATTCGTAAGATTGTCGTACGAGAGTTAAATGATATCAAGTCTAAAATCGACGGCCTTTCTAGATCAACTTTACTCGCCAGTTACGATTTTCTAGAAGAAGGAGTTGTGTTACTAACTGATTCTCTTGATAAATCAAATCCCGAGCAGAAAGCGAGCGAAACTCAGGACGAACCGGGTGAACCTTCGAACGTTATTCAGTCTGGTATCTTAAACCAAGCAATAGAGCTTCCTCGCGCCATGGAAAAGCTTAAAATCAAATCGGACAGAGAGTTTGAAACTGCGAGAAAAAGATTCGAGAAAGCGCGCGAGACCGCAACCACTGCTTTCAGGAATGAGGCATTTAGTATTGAAGATCGAATTTTTGCTGCGAAGTTACGAATAGTTTCAGAAATACTGGAACAAGTCGATAGTCCTGAGACCGCAATCAAAGGGTGTTTTTTGTTTTTGAAGAGCTTCATAGCTTAGCCATTCAAGAGATATTCTCGGTGTATTTG